ATTAGGTTGATCATATAGTTCTGTAATATAATTTTCCAAAATTTTCAGCACTTGCCTCTGTTCTACTATTCTATTCCCCTGGGAGTCTTCAATGCCAATATTTTGAATCCCATGGTTCTCTTTCCATCCTAGTTCTTTTGTCTTCATGTACATCAAATCATAACGTCCTGTCCTTTGAAATTCTATAATCTCATTACATATCTTCTCAAGATATTCCTTTTTGGCCCTGTCCGTGGCTCTTTTCAGTTCATTCCTGTCTCCTGTATTTCCTCCTGCCTTCTTCATTGTTTACATTCTTCCATTTCCTTCGTTCCTCCATTTTACTCATCATCTCCTCTGTAACCCATGGTTTTCTTGCTAACTTCTCAACTTTACCAACCAGTTCACTAATAGTATCTGACATGCATTCTTTTATATTGTTCCACTGCACTTCAGCGTGTACGAGGGGAAGTCAATAATTATCCGCAATGCAGTGCTCGTTAAAGTGAGATGCTTACTGACAGGCTAAAGCCTGCAATTCGAAGCAAATGCCGAGGACTACTGTCGAAAGGTGTTGTGTTGTTGCATGACAATGCCCGTCCACATACTGCTGCCCACACTGCTAAAACCCTCTGGAAACTCAAGTTTGATGTAATGGCTCATCCTCTGTATAGTCCTGATCTTGCCCCTTCTGACTACCACTTGTTTGGTCCACTCAAAGAGGCATTAAGGGGCTGTCGATTCACCTCGGACCAAGAAGTGAAGGAAGCGGTGCATGCGTGACTTGCTGCTCAGCCAAAAACCTTCTTTTCTGAGGGCATCAGGAAGCTTTTGCAATGATGGACCAAGTGCGTTGAAAAGCAAGGGGACTATGTTGAAAAATGATGTTAATGTAAGTTTTCTATTTGTATTGAAATAAAATTTATAGCTACATTGCAGATAATTATTGACTTACCTACGTACATCTGCACAAATGAAGAGGGGAATTTTATTTCTCTCTTTTTTTTTTTTAAATATCTAAGAATTTATATCATGTAGTCAGAAGCATATATACAAAAATAGTGTTTACTGTGTTGTTTATTGTTAGATGCGTAGATACACAGGATTAAATGGCAGGATCATTATTAATGTTGAGTTGGAAAGAATGTAGTGGCCATTATAAATTATGTGATACAATCCAAACATGTTCTTCATGGATTAAGAAAACAGTGAAAGCGTTATGTCAGGATAGCCAGTGTGAATGTTGAGGTGTGAACTTAGGACTTCAACAAATGTGAAGCAATAATGCTGATTACTACACGACAACATTTGATGATATGTGATGACATTTGTTTATTAATATTACTGAGATCATCATTCATATAATCATATGTTGCATGTTTATGTGTTTCAGGTGTAGTATGACAAATGAACAGATTGTTAACAGCCCTGACTTCATTAAACTTTGTAAGCGTCTGAAATCACAAGCTAGAGGCATCACTCTTAATGACACAATTCAAGCGCTCAAAACTGTGTCATTTGTTGGAGTTCCTGCAAGTAGTACCATTATTCAGGTTTTGCTGCAACTTATTCGTCAAGGGGTCAATGATCTGTCACTACATCAGATCATCTTTCTGGAATTCATGATGAGAAATTTTGATAGAAACCCTCTGGTTGATGCTTTACGAATTGCTTTTCCTTTAGTGTTTGAAGCTCAACTAAGTTTAAAAATGGCTCAAGATGATGTCACAAGTTTGGCTGAACTTCTGCAGTATGCTTGTAAGAAACCCCTTTCTGATTCCTCGATAAACATTATAATTGAGTGCCTTGAAAAACTCTCAGAAGATATAGATGTGAAAATTGCTAAAAGTGTAATGTGGTCATTATGTGAACTGAGGAGACCATTACCATCCTACCATGCACTTTTAATTCACTGTTGGAATGTCATAACTGAAAATATAAAACAGTGTTCATATACAGAAATTGATGGTCTTTTGAGCTGGATGGTGAAGAAAGTTCAACAAAAACAAACACATTTTTATCATGAAGGTTTCGCAGATAGCTGTGTTAGATACGTGGTGGACAAAGACTGTGGCTTTGAAGAAGGGACCTGGATTCTGAGAAAATTAACAAGACTAGTAAGAAGAATATGAAATACACATAGTATACGTTTTTGCTTAGATATAGAACATAAGGAGATTAAAGAGTGCAGTCATTGTGAATGTAATACAGTTTTCTGTTCAAAGTTGTTAACTTTTGAAATACTGCATGTGGACCAGTGACCAAGTTAAGAATCTGTTTTTAGTGTACTAGACGGTGAAAATTTATAGAAAGCATATTAAGAGTTAAGAACGTTATAATTGAGATCTAAAAGGAACATCTACATTTGTAGCATATATACACACATAATACAATACAATACAATACAATACAATACAAAGAAAGTTACAGGTACTCAGATATGACACGGTTGTCTTATTTTTAATAATGTAAGGGGAATAATGAATTGAAATAGCTGAACTGCAGTGTAGTTGATAATTATTGGTTCAGATGTTATAAATCTTCTATTTGACTCGTGGTAACTTTACGTTTGTGTGTGTTCTATATGAAAGAAAATGTCGGTATTGTATACTACTAAGTACCCTAAAAAGTAAGGTCTGGGCATGTGTGAGTATTTAATTAATATAAAATACAATGACAAGGTATTCTGGGAAATATATATAGAGGCTAACACAAATTATAAATTAATAATTATGAAAATTGGTGAGTCTTTTCAGTGTATAATTTCCCTCAGGTTGTAAGAAAACTCAAAGTTCTCCACTGTTACTATGTTCTGTTTCGACAGAAAAAATACCTGCATTCAAGGTAACTGCACCAGCCCATGTCTATACAGTGTTTCTTGTTCTTGTCAGAAAATACATCCCGTTCTATTGACCATTTTTCTCAATGGTGAAGTATTCAGATGTCAAATTTCCATCAGTTTTGGGGCCCTAACAGACTCCAAGAGCATTTGTAATTATTTCCCAGGAATGTTCTCACTGATATAAGCATGTTCTGTATTAGAAAGATATCAGCAGAAGATTAGGTTCTCCTGGTGACATAGAAGTATGGTGTGAAGAGATAAATTGTCTCTGTGCATAATTATGCTCCACACCGTGAAGATGATCAGGGAGTGGAGGTACAGCTCCACACATTGTTAACCTTGGTAGTGGATGAAGATGAGTGGTCACTGTCACGCCACAGCCATTTTACACCCAGGGAAAGAGTCCCTGGTACACTTTAGGCAGGAGGCTGGGTGGTCCTCAGAGAAAAATCTTTTATCTAACAGGACCTAAACTTCAGTTCCTGGATTGTTCAGGTTATAGACTGTTTGGTATACTGACTGAGCTCTTCTGGCTCTAGATATTTTATTTACTTTTTAAAAAGGAAATTACAAATATTTTTCTTTTTGTTTTTGCTCATTATGTTTGGCCAAAAGTGAAATTCATTTTTTATTCTCGCTTAATATTTTTTTGTGGGACCTACCCATCCAAAAGAAGCTACAAAACTTGGTGTGTTTTGAAATTACATTGTTATTGCATTACACATACATCCTTTTGCTTTCCACAGGGTCATATAAATATAAGTCTTATTGACTATATAGGAGAGAAAATTGTAAACAACCCTCAGATTGTAAAGGATTGTAAGGCTGGCGCTTTGTTAAGTGTGGTATCAGGAATGGCTGCCGCAGAATACAAACCAGTAGGCTGGAACAGCATACAGGAAGCTCTCATGACAAATACAGCTTTGATTAGCAAGGTAGGAGAGGCTGTTACTTTAATTTACAGAAAAGCTATAGTAGCTATATCCTTTGTTTTCTTCTGCCCAGAACCTCTATGTGAACAGCAGCACCTCCTGCTTATTATTCACATTTAATTACAAAGCTTTTGAACTGAATATTACAGAACTGTATTTCCTGTATTGATACTAGATATATTTTGGCAAAAGATATAACACATTTTTAGCTGAGTCATTATGTACACAGTAGAGGACTGCTTGTTAATACCTTATCACTCTTTCCTGTGGATAATGAAGAAGAATACAGAGAAATCATTTTCTAGGAGGTATCTTATGGTGAAAGAGATTCTGAACACTGTCAGTCTGAAAATTTATGTGGAAAATTATATTTGTTCTCATGTAATGCTAATTAAATTGTTCAAGAACATGTCATATGCAGGAATTGTCTGGAAGAATAAATATTGTTACTACTTGAATTCCTACAACCCTGTACCAAACTAAGCACTTCATGCCAATTCTTGTGTTCCCATATGAATGTGGGAATTCTGAAATGCTCAGAAATATGTTTTTCATACAAAAATTTATTTTTTCATTTGTTTTCACCTTTTCATTAAATTAATATAAGCCGATCTGTCTTGTCTCTAAGTCTCTAAGAGTTCAAGAACCATTGAGTGGGCTTCCATGAAATTTGAAGCTAAATTGACTGACATGTTCCTATTTTTTGTTAAAATTAGACAAAAGTAATGGACACTTTACATGAATACCTATGTGTGTTTACCTTGAGTAATCCATTAAAGTGAAAAATGTTGTTGAATAAAGTTCTAAAGAAAAATTAAACAATTTATTCCCAATACACTTGGGGCATGCAGTATCATAGTTGGTTGAGGCACAGTGCTACAAGCTGGAAGGTCGCAGGTTTGATTCCCAATGAGGTCATTGGATTTTTTCTGTTGACCTAATCCTTCCAGCTGCACTATGGCCCTGGGGTCGACTCAACCTCTAAAAGAAATGAGTTCCAGGAACCTTCCCGGGAGTAAAGGGCAGGCGGCGCGTAAGGCTGACAACCTCACCGCTGTCTGTGAGCTGATTGTCTAGAAAATGTGGGAGCCTTGACATCTCACAACCCTGCTGGCCTCCACATCCAGTTACAGGGATAGCTTTACTTTTTTTATTATTATTATTTCCAATACACTTTTTCTTTAAGTATTGTGGTTTTTGAGATATACAGATTATGTTTTGGGCAAATTTGTATGTTCAGCAGTAAATATTGGCCTTCTAAACATACTCGAAGATTACTGAAGTTTCTTAATCTCAACAGTAACTGAATGAAGCATCCTCCTGCCTGCACTTACACACAGCAATAGCTAAATGTCACACTCAAATGAATACCTGAAACCATTCTAAAATGTCTATAACAAAACTTACATTAATGAGGAAAATTGGGGAATTAAGTGACTAAAATTATTGTACCAATTGTAACATATTATAAATAGAATATAATGTTTTTATCTAATAATGACTTTTTCCAGCACATGGATTTGAGAAGTAGAATGAGTGGCTGGTTCTTGGTTATTTAATTATATTTCATCAAGTGAATGATTTATGTGGCAGCTAGTGATTGTGAATGACAAATTGAAAATAATGTGGAAGGACGAAAATGTTGCCTGTTGTAATTTACTCTCGTAGCATTTGTTTGGAGAGACTGTGAAAAACCTCAGTCAGGATAGCTGATCTCTTGATCATTGTTGAAACCCAGGACTTTCATGATCCAAAGCCAGGAGTGTTAACTGCATGACGGAAATGTTCAGTTTGAAAGGTGGAAGTTAATCAAGATTTATATATAATACATGTTTACTGTATGTTATATTAACTTGAATTCTGTGAACTTGTGTATCTGACTTGATTTTGTAGGAGAGAATGGAATTTCCATGGCTCAGACTGGCTCTGGATTTTGCAGTATTGGATATATTCTGTCCAGATTTGCTTCGGTATGTCTTTGGTGAGGAATTCTTACAACAGTTCCTTTCTAGAGGTAATGCTTCTTTTATGCTTCTGAAACATTACATTGTGTAAGTACCATCTTTACGGGCATGAAGACATGGTATATTCAGAGTACAGTCTTCTAGGTTGTAGTGTGGTGTGTAAGTTACTAGAAGTCCACCCAATGTTTACACTTCTACTGAACAACACACCATTATGACCCAAAGATCATACTCTTCATAGGCACTGCTGTTAAAGAGTATCAAATCTGACTTTGGCATGAAATCAGGGATTGTTTCTAATGGCCTATATTGCATCTTGCACAGAAGCTGCACTTAATCATCTGCTGAGTAATTGTTGTTTACATTTCCTGTGGTTTCTGTGATTTAAGTTACATTTGGTAGTTGAAGTTATTTTAGAGCTTTGTTTTAAGGAAGAATGTTTCAATAATTTGTGTATGTGTGTAAACACTTCTTTTATTATGGAAGGTGCCATATGAGAAGGGGCTTCTAAGTTCAGGAAGTGTGTCCTTTGGACACACATGGTAAGTTGATCTGACCTAGGTACTTTTCAAAACATTATTCTGATGGAAGATCAGCATTGACTACACTGCTAATATTTTCTTTGGATTAATGATGTCTGATTATAAATTCCTATTGGATGCTAGTGTAATATGTTAGTGGACTTCAAGTAAACTCAAGTGCATTGCTCATTTGCTACTTTTGATAATTTAATATGTCAAGACAAAGACCGTCTCTTTGGTCTAATGTTCAGAGTTCCTGGCTACAGATCCTAAGGTCACAGGTTCGATTCCCGGCGCTACCTGATTTCCTGAGTAGTGGGTCTGGAATGGGGTCCACTCACCCTTGTGAGGATAATTGAGGGGTTACGTGAATGGAAAAGTAGTGGCTTCAGTCTAAAACACCGAAATTAACAGCCATGGGGATTCGTTGTGCTGACCATGCGACACCCTCTATCTACTAAAGTTGGCACTAACTTCGCCAACAAGCGGCGGTCATTCAGTCAGTATAGTTCGCTTGCAGACTAAAGCCATGGGTTTTTTCTGTTGTTGTTTGAAGACAAAAGTTAGAAAATTAATTTGATAGTACCATTTCCTCCACAGTGGTTGTAATGTTTATACCATCATGATTCATTCACCAGAGCTTTGTTCATAAGAACATGTTGCATCACTTGAAGAGAGCTAGCCTCTATGGTAGGGAAGATCTGTACTCCATACAGTTAAGTTGTTGTTATTGGAGAGGGTGGGTTCCCCATGCACTTAGACCAGATATTGGTCCATTGTGCATACCCCTGTGATATTCTGCCAGTCTCTATACCCTACCGGTACTGGTGCGTGCCATCAGTCCCGACTCAGCCAGCGAGTTCGGCCTCTACTGGCTCAGCGGTATCTCGATGCTTCCCCCATCTACCAGAGGCATTAGAGACTGCTGTTGGGCGGGAAATGTCCTGAATTTGGATCAGAGGTCCCCTTGAGACATGAGGTTCTTTTACGTGCCGTAAAGCTACGACACAGGACCCACGGCTTAAAGTCCCACCCGGAGGACTTGTTCCCTGAAATTTTCCACCCTTAAAAATTCCACAACCTCCGCCGGGTTTGAACCCGCATACCTTGAGTCACGAGGTGGGAACGTTACCCCTAGACTACGGAGGCCGCTTTACAGTTAAGTTACACTTGATATAGTGGGATTATTAGTTCAGAACTGTGTTTATAATTTTGCAGATTACAATCTGTTGGATAATCTACAGTTATTGTTACTGCATCAAGCTGTAGTAACACTGTATCCTTCATACTCGGGCGTACTTCCACCACAGAACATAATTGACATGGTGAAGAAATACAATGGGGATCATGTGCAGCAGTTTCCACTTCAGGCTGCTCTGGAGAAAGGACTGGGAGGCGGGTCATATGTTTGGACCAGACTTCTTACCAAGCTTGGCCATTTCATAGGTAAACATTAAAACAAATTTATCAGATAAACAATCTGTAGAATCTTATTTGTTATTTGCATCACAAGATCTGAAGCTAGTATCTGAATGTGTGACATGTAACATACTTTTATATACAAGGTGCTCCTTTTATGTTATGCACGATAGACAAGGTAAAATAAAGCAGAAAATGAAATATAAAATGCCATTTAAAGCCACTGCGACTCTTCTTAAAATGATGAGCTTACCTTTTCCTCCATGAAAAGAAAATTGGAACTCAATCAGCACATTTTAATGACATTGTATTTACTTCAACATATGTGACCCAAAGGCATCCTTGTGATCTATCAGTCAGTCAGCATTTATAGAATTTATAACAGACAAAGCTGTGAGTATTTAAATTCTCAGTAGTCTTGGATATTAGTACAGTATTACTTCTTAGTGTAGAATTCGAGACCAGAAGCAGAAGAAACATTTGCTGTTGAAGTGATGAAGCTTTTGTTTTTACATTACATTGCTGTATTTGTGAATACTTAGTTGAAACTGGTTCAGATTGGGGTTTGAAATAATTGCAAAATAAAAATCTGTCATTGTAATAGCTTAAAACACCCAGTAAATGATTATACTGACAGATTTTAATATATTTGTTAAAATTCCAAGCTGAATGTGAGAGATTGAGAAAATGTAATAACAATTTATTTAACATCCATAACTGTTATACAGGCTCAATTTGACAAATCAGTTGACAACAGCCAAACACTACATGTCAACAGCTCTTAAAAAATGCACAAAACAGTGTATACAGTACAGTCCCTTTTTGATCAGTGTCCCCTTGCCATAGCTTACCAACCATGGATGACAACTCCCAGCAATTCAGCATAAAGCAATAAATATACTTTTTTTAATTGCTAGTGGGGTGGGACTAAGTCCCTTGTACTGCGGCCACTTCTGGCCTATTATACCAGCCCCATATGATAGGTGAGGGTGAATGTGGAGCAATTGGTGGAATGAAGATTGGCAGGGGAAACCGAAGTACTTGGAGAAAACCTGCCCCAGCACCACTTTGTCCACCAGAAATCCAACTTGACCAGACACAGGATCGAACCTGAGCCGCCACGGTGGGAAGCCAGCGTCTAACCGCTTGAGCTATGGCGCGGCCCATAAATTTACTTAACCACCAAAAGCACAAGTCAGCCATGTAAAACAAAACATCCCACGTTAGGGAAGATAACAGTCCAAAGACCATCTTTATACTTCTGTACCTTATAAAAACTAACTCCAATTACCAAACTACTGTCTATTATTGTTACTAAAAAACTCCTGTAGAGAATAAAAATCTTAAAATTTTCTATCCTTTTTAATTTTGAGGGTAAGTTACTGTGTATTTTTATTCCCATGTTACACTTTTTTTATGAGCGGTGTTGCATAATTGGACATACAAATCCTGTTTCCCTTCTGTTTTATAAATATCAGAATATTGAGTCATATAGATCTTATTCTTTTTAAAGGCTGACAATCTTACCACCATCTGTGAGCCGATTGTCTAGATAATGCGGGACCCTCAACGTCTCACAACCCTATGGGCCTTCACGGCCTGGTACAGGGATAGCTTTACTTTTTTTTACTTTTACAAGATCTCAGATATGTATGATAGGGTTGCAGTTAAAATCTTAAAATCACCAAACAAACTTCTACAAGACACCCTGTTATTAACTTTTTAAATATGTTTAGACATTTTTCTGGATTTTAAATACTGCATTACTGTCATTTACTCCCCCCAAAATAATACCACATTTTAGTATAGATTCAAATTTTGTAAAGTAAACATATCTTAATACAGGTTACTTACTGAGTCAAGTAAGGATTTAATTAAATAAAGAGGTATGTTTGATTTTTGAGAAGGGTACTGTATATGAGTGGCCGAGCTTAAGTTTTCTGTCATATAAATACCTAAAAATTTTAAATATGATCAATAATTAATTTCTTTGTTTTATAAATACAGAACAGGTGTATGAATTAGACTGAATCCTCTTCCCTGAAATAGAATTGCTTTGGTCTTTTCCATACTTATAAGATTATTTGTCAAGAACCATTTTCCTAATTCTTTAATAATTTTTACGATTTTCACTTTTAACAATGTGACATCTTTCTCAGTGAGTAGTGTATTTGTCATCCATGAATAACACCACCTTAGCTTCTTGAACAGCTTGGGAAAAATCATTTATAAGCAACAAGAACAAAAGAGTCCTAAAACGGAACCCTAAGGTACACCATATTTTATTTCTCTGCATTGCAAAGTATATATCTTTATATTTGAGGTCTTTACATCAAATTGCTATATTCCCACAAATTGAGTTCTACTAGTAACATACGAACTCATCCATGAGTGTATTTTTCCTCTTAAGTCCATACAGCTCCAATTTGGCAGGCAGTAGTTTATGATTTATTACATCAGAGGCCTTAGTTATATCTAAAAATATGCCCATAACTAATAGTTTATTATCCAGTGGTTTCTGGATATCTTCTATAAAGGTTTTGGTTGCTGTATTGGTAGATTTCTTCGCTCTGAAGACATTCTGAGCCTCAGATATCATGTTTGTTTAAGGTCACTCACTACTCATTCATATATTAATATTTCAAGAATTCTAAAAAAACTGGAAAAATTGAAATTGGTCTATAATTGGAAATTTCTTGTTTCCCTCCTTTTTTGCGAATAGGTCAAACTTTTTCAACCTTCATCAAATTTGGGAAGGTACCGGAAAATAATGAGGGGGCACATGGTAGCGTAGTTGGTTGAGGGGCTATAAGCTGGAAGGTCGCGGGTTCAAGTCCCGATGAGGCCATTGGATTTTTTTTTTTCACTTTAACTAATCCTTCCAGCTGCACTATGGTCCTGGGGTTGACTCAGCCCCTAACAGAAATGAGTACCAGGAATTAATTAAATAATTTTCCTGGGGAGTAAAGCACGGCTGGCGCGTAAGACTGACAACCTTACCGCCATCTTTGAGCCAATTGTCTAGATAATGTGGGACTTTCAATGTCTCACAACCCTATGCGCCTTCACGGTCTGGTACAGGGATAGCTTTACTTTTACTTTAGCAGAAAATAATGAAATGTTAAATATAATGGTTAGTGGTTTTTTAATAAATTGAATACTTTCTTTTACTAGCTTTTCTGGTATTTCATCATAGTCCACTGAAAATTTACCATTTAGTTTACTGGTTACATTTAATACCACAGCTGCAGTAATTGGTGCAAGAATTATGGAATTTGAATTTAATATAATATTCTATTAATAACAGTATCATGATTAAATTTAAGAGTGCTTATTTTGATTTAAGAACCTACCCACATTCTGTATGAAAATAGCTTTAAATTGATGAGATATGTACTGTGGATTTGTAACTATCATGGAGGCTATTTTTAGAGAAATGTTTTGACTTGTTTTTTGATAGTTCCCTAATTCCTTCTTATTATTTGCCATAATGCCTTGGTATGGTTTAGTGACCATTAACAATTCTGTCACTTTCTCTTTTCTATGCTTTTGGTATCACTTTCTTATAAGTAAAATAATTTGATATTTGTTTATATAGTTCAATGGACATCTTTTTCTTTAACAAATGTAATAATTGCATTCCCTTTCATCAGCCATCCTGATTTATTTTTATTTTTTGGGAATTTTGGGGGGAAAAGATATTGACAAAATATTTGAGATACTCAGCTAAAGAGGAACTGTATGCTCTGTTTACATCTGTTTGTAAGTAAACATCTTACAGTTTTCCCTGAATGAACAAAGGAGCTCATAACCTGAGCAAAGTGGTCTGAAGAACCCAGTTCAGCTACCTTTGTCATGGTATGATAAAATATCTTATTTCTAATCATCACATCAATTAGAGAGCTTGAGTTTGTTGTAACTCTCACAACTTGTTCGACGACAACAAACTTAATAAAGCTTTTTGATGAATATTTTTGTGTAATAGGTTAATATTCCAATTGTCACATATCACCAAAAAGTTCCTATTTCATTATCTTATAATTTCGTCCAATATTCCTAGAAAGATCTTTACATCACTGTGAGGAGATCTATATATACAAATTACTATAATTTTAAAACTGACTAATTCATTAGCTGATATTTCAAGTTCTTTATCCCTTCCTAAATTCTTTAAAAAGATTACTTCCATAACATTTATTACATTAGAAACAAATATAGATGGACTCCCATACTTATCTTTTTCCCTGCCAGTTTATGATGTTCGATATTTACATGTAAAATTTGATCCCTTTGTAGCCAAAGTTCAGAAAAGCATAAAATAACTGACTTTGATAACTGTGACATGAGCAGTGCATTTAATTCCAATAATTCATTTCCAAAACTTTGAATATTATGATGTAAAAACTCATATATTGTATTTTATCAAATCTTCCTCTACTTGAAGAGAAGACAGCTTTTACTGGGGGATTTACCATAACAAATTCTTGTTTCTTTTTAAAGGTTGATGTCCAGTTCTGTTAGATAATATACCAGTCTTTTCTTGTTTCACTGTGTCCTCTTCAGTTATTTTGTGATCTTCCGTGTCACTGTTTATATCTTCTTGTATGTGTTCCTTATTTACACAAATACTCTCCTGAACTTCCTGCACATGATTATCCCCACTTAACTTATTGAGCTCATCACTTTTTATATGGTCACCAGATTCACTATTTCCATACATTTGTAACAGAACCTTGTTTTCATGACCACTAGCCTTGACTTCCTGGACACTCAGCATCTGTTTATTTATACTTGGATAACTCTCTGTATCCTCCTTATTTTTCCATTTTAAGGATACAAGTTACACCTTATTTACGCAGTACAAGTCCTTTATCACTGAGGCAACTCTGTTTGCTAGTTGCTCCTTCCCTTTAGCATTTAAGTGAAACCTGTCTTGTATATAAATCCCTAAGTCCACAGTTATCATTGACAAATTTCTGTGCACCTTTCTCTCTTAACTAGTTTTCCATTAAACACTTTAACTTCATAATTTTCAGAGTTAGGAGCAAGATCATTTCTATGGATAACATTTAGCATAGTAACATCAGTATGTTCTCCCAGTGTCATTTGAACCTCCCCATACTAAACAAACATCTCCCTTAGTGAAAGTTTTTAAATCTGAGCAAGTCACTTTCACCAATTTTCTTGAGTGGATCCAGTACCAGCAATTTTTTCTTTCCATTTATTATATTTTTGCTACATTATACATTAATACCAACCATGAAGTGGCCATATTATAATCTTGTACAGGAATGTGTAATACAGTATGAGTGTGGAAGGTTATGTAATGAGGTACATGAATGGAGATCATGAAGTAATCTGAATAGGTGAAAAAATAAGATATATTATGGCCAAGTTTTTAACTTGTCAGACATAACAGAATGTTGTGCAGGTATTTTTTATAAAATGAACTTCATAAAAATTAGAAAATAACAAAGAGGTTTAAACTGAAATCAAGTTGAAAGGTACCATCTTCCAGGACGTAATGTCTTAGTCAGTTCAATATTTTTGAGGAACATGCTGCCCCCATCATCAGGATCAAAGAGTAAGACAAGCAAGTACCCAACAAAAAACAAAACTTTGCATAGCTTATTCTTTGACCCTGAAGATTTCTCTGAAATATAAGTGAACTTCTACTAGACTACATAGTGTTACAGAGGATAATAATTTTCATAGTCACCACTGTAAGAACCTCAAACCCAACATGAAAAAATATTCTTTTTTACTGGCACCTTTATTTCTGTATTAAAGAAAGGATACTGAATATAATAGTATGTATTTCATTTTATGTTTATCCTAAAGCACTGACATTACAGTAACCTATACTTTCTACACAGCTTTACTTTTAATAACATTACCATTTTTTTCAAAGATTATTTGTCTTCATAAAATTTACCTAACATTTTTCCTATACACAGTTTAAGTTTAAAACAATAAAATAAAGCCATCCACACACAACATTGGTTATTTCACATTTACCCTGAAAAGGGAAATGTAGGCCAAGTCATTAGTGTTACAGAACACTCTCTTCTCTCTTCAGCACTTTGTACAAGAGAAATGAGAGCATGCACTACCAAATTGCACAAATAACAGAGATAAAATGAATGAGACAAAATTACGTTATGACAGTTGTAAAAATTTATTCTGTGTAATGAGTAAATCTTGCATAAATTTCACTCACCAATCTTCATTTCATGCATACTGTTGTGTTACAATATTGTGTTTTATAATGTCCGTACTGTATGAAGAGTAAACGATGACTGCATACAGTACGGACATTTTCTTTCATATGATCAGGCACCTCTACTCTGTTAATTAACTTGCAACGTCATGGGCCTCCAATACCACCTTATATTTTTATTTTGTCCACGGAACCTATAAAGTAAACATACAACTGCTTAGATGTTATAAAACATCAATTTTAATCTTGTTTTATATTATAACCTTAAATTTTATATATAAATGACCTTTGTATTTTTACACAAAAGAATTATTGTATCTAATTTTACTACAGTTCAATAGTATATGTTTGTTGATTTGTATTCACCTGATGATGGCTGTTACGGCTGAAACATGTAGTGAGGCATAGCTGGGCATTGACCTTGATACTCCTTAGTTGTGTTGTGATGGAAAAATAAAGTTATATCACTCACCAATATTGCTGACTTGCTCTATAATTAACATTATTAAATTGAACTACATTATGTAATGCTCAGTTTGACAGACTATTTGTTCAGGCCATATTTCTAATTATGGAATTTAGTATGTAATATGTTGTGGAAATCCAAGATCTGACAAAGAGAAAAGTATTTAAAACAAGTACAATAATAATGGTGAAAAATCTTATGATATGATGTTGCAGAATCTCTTCATAACACTCATTCCTGTATACATTTCAGATCATCTTGTAGTGATGCGGAAGGGAGGGTATCCAGTGGCTTTGAACCAAATTTCCAGCAACTCTGCTTCAAAAACATATGTGGAAGATTTGCTGGTTCCTTCAGATAGCCAAATGTATGTTCATTACCACTGATTCCAGTTCAGCTAGAATTACTGTTTTAATTAAGTGTTTCAAACATACACAATAGAAGTCAGATGTGTTCGTATTTGACGTATCATGGAAACTGGAGTTTTATTGGTTTCAAATAGTTTGGTATACCTTTTGACATGATATCTTATTCCAAAATAATTTCCATTATACATTAATAGACTGATCAAATTTATTTTTATGAACTTCTTAATAAAATTCAAGCAAAAATTGTGTTTTCGGTGTATCTTTGACAACTGTTACACTGCATATAATCTTAGAAAACAGTTTTGATGAGTCTGTTGTAGAGGTTTCTTCATAAAACCCATGGCTAACTAATAGTTTTGAGCCACTGTCTAAAATGGTCTTGCTGATAAAGACTTGCAACATCTCTGGTTTTGTGCCTAAAACTGACTTGACTTTCAGCATTTGTTTGATGACAGAGTCTTTAAAATGGTCATACTGACAAAGACTTTCAGCATTCCCCCCCGCCTTTTAGTGCTTAGTGGGGGGTGGAGTCCAAATGGGTCCGCTCGACATGGTGGCCACTGATTGGCTTATTGTAGCCTACCCCAGGTGATTATCTTGGAGAATCTGGTGGAATGAAGATTGGCAGGGGAAACCGAAATACTTGGAGAAAACCCGGGCCACCACGGTGGGAAGCCAGTGACTAACCACTTGAGCTATGGCACGGCCTTTCCAGCACCCCTTTGGTTGCTATAATTGTACATGTATCTATGGACATACAGTACACTTTCTCAGCCTTGGTGGGAAAAACAAATTCATATGCAGAATATTATTACTGCCCATATTCATAACCATAGAACACACAGAAACATGCACAAGTCACTGCTTGTTGATGGCAGCCGTCTGGAATTACTGATTGAACAAAATGCCATAACTGTTGGACAGATCTCTATGTGTATGTATACACAGCACATAAATTTCCAAATGATCAATAATGCATTTATGGCCCTTTTTACCACAGACTGAGATTCTAACATCTTTTCTCTGTAATCATATTTTTAAATGTTTTGTCCATTTTCACCTTTATTTCTGATGAATCTTCTAACATTATGTTGCAGAATTCTAGTACTATGTATGCCTGCAAGTTATTACGCTGTCAACTGCCAAAGATTGCGACCAGTGCCATCTCTAACAGTGCACACTTTGGAAGCTCTGGGTTACTCTGTGGTTCCTGTATCCTTGCAACATTGGATGAATCTACCAGACTATGAGAAAATACCATATTTAATGCAGAATATTAAAATGAAATGTGAATCGGTAGATAGTAATGAAGCCAGCATTGTACATTAGCTATTCAGTAAATCAGTACTACTGAAAACTGAAGAATTTATAAATTTAAAATGAGACATGAAAAATGCAACTGTGAAGCTGTGGATCATATTTGTCATTTTTTGGGGTATTCATAACAAATAATTGCACAAATACATGTATTAACTTCAAGTTTCTGTCAGTAACATCTTAAGAACTGCTGAACAGATTTCCACAGAATCTGATATTGGCTTATGTTAAAGTTAACATTAGTACTACTGCATCAAAATAATTAAAGCAACATGACATTTCATAAATTAAATTTAATTAACATCTACAACACCCTGCATATTTCGCTGTTTACTTGCTGTAGGGACAGGTTCCAACATGTAGGGTTTGAGGCTTTCACAGTGGTGGTTATGACGATTATCTTCAGCAGACTACAAGGCATTATATCCCAGGAGATAGTACTACTGTTGATACAGTTAAATTAGTTATTAAGAAAATGTTCAAATCAAAAAGTTGACTCCCTTATTGTGGCATATTTGCTGAAAGCAAGAACTACGGAGCCAGAGAAATGGCCACTGCTAGGTAATGTCTTTGTAACACACAACAATGGAGTCAACTGTTGGAAGCGGTGTTTTCAAGTGCAGTAAATCTGATTACCAATCCAAACCTCATCTGTAGTCAGTCACGTGATATTATATAGACCACAAATGGGAAGCTACTACATTATATATGCATACAAGGAAGAACTTCTATATGTAAAAATGCAGATCACATAGTAATAATGAAGGGACATGAAAAATAAAGAATTGGCATTGTACAACTTCTTTATAATTCATAATATTCATAATTTTATTTACATCCATAACTGTAAAATATACAATCGGATAAAGTCAAAGAGAATATATAGATTTAATAACAATCACACCTAACATAATCAAAGAATACATATATACTTAAATAAATTATATAAAAAAACCACCAGCACATGCATTAACAGACAATTACAGTCATTTAATTCAACATCTTACATATAAAAAACTCCTGAAGAGAGTAGAAGGCACTATGCAACAAATAACACTTCAATTTCCTCCTAAACACTTTAAAATCAGATACATTCTTTAACTCCATAGGAAGATTATTGTATAGTTTTATGCCCATGTTTATCACACTTCTCTTACAACAATTTGTATTACAATGTTGGGCATACAGATTATGTTTATGCTTTGTATTGTAATTATGCACATCAGAGTTCAGAGTTGTATAGATTCTATTTTTTATGATAAAACATAAAATCTCCAGTATATACAAAGAAGTAACAGTTAAAATTTCTAACTCACCAAACAGCCTTCTGCAGGATGCCTGATTATCAACACCCATAATGGCTCTTATGCATTTTTTTTGTACTTTAAAAACTGTATCTATCTCTTTACCTCCACCACCCCAAAACATAATACCATACTTAAATATGGATTCAAATTTAGTAAAATATACATTTCTTGATACCTGTAAACTAACAGAATTACGTAAGGATTTGATCAGATATAGGGCCTTGCTCAGCTTAAGGCAGATATATTGAGTGTGATTCAACCAGCTCAAATTTTCGGAAATATTAATACCCAAGAATTTCACCGAAGATGAATATACTAATTCCCTATTGAATAAACGTATGACCGGTCTGTTCCTAGAAGTAGATCCTTTTCCATGGAAAAATATACTTTGGTCTTGTCAGTGTTAACAAAAAGTTGATTCACATTAAACCAACTTTCTAGTTGATCAATAACCTTTTGATTTTTATATTTAAAGAACTAAGAGAGTTATCAGTGAATAATATATTAGTGTCATCTGCAAATAGTACAACCTTAGCCTGAGGTATAGCATATGGCAAATCATTAATGAATAATAAAAACAACAGAGGACCCAAAACAGATCCCTGCGGAACACCATGTTTAATTTCCTTAAGTGACGCGGTAAAGGACTTAGAATAACAGGATACATGGTCCTGGTGATAAATTTCTACATATTGGAATCTATTCGTTAGATACGAGGTCATCCACTCATGGATTTTTCCTCTAAGCCCATACAAGTCCAATTTAGTAAGTAACCGGTCATGGTTTATTACATCGAAGGCTTTTGTAAGATCTAAAAATACGCCCATGGCAAATCGTTTTGAATCTAATGTTGTCAAAATGTCCTCAAGAAAAGACTGGATAGCAGTATAGGTAGATTTATTAGCTCGGAAACCATTTTGGGCACTAGAAATCAAATTATATTTATTTAAAAAACTTATAAGTCTATTGTGTATTAAAGTTTCAAAGATTTTGGAAAATGCAGGAAGAATTGAAATTGGTCTATAATTAGTAATATCTTGAATTCGGCCCTTCTTTAGAATAGGCCGTACTTTGGCAATCTTCATCAAATTTGGAAAGGTACCTGTGTTTAATGAGAGATTAAATATGAAAGTTAACGGTTTATTTATAAACTGTATGCAGTGTTTAATTAATGATGCCAGACTCTCATCAAAGCCAGACAAATACTTATTTTTTAGTTTACCAGTAACCTTTAGTACCTCCTCGTCGGTAATAGGAGCCACAAACATCGTATTAGCATTCCGAGGTATTGTATTAGCAGGGACACGCACCTGTCTAATATCCTTTGTATGGGTACACATCCTATCAACAATCTCTACGAAATGATCATTGAAATGATAAGAAAGAAGCTGGGGGTTTGTAACTAACACTGAACCAATTTATAACGCAATAGTCGGATTTGAAATACAGCCTTTTCCTGTTTCTTTCTTTATTATATTCCATAAGGCCTTTGTACTATTACTAGAATTTGCAATGATATGGTCATTTGCACGTTTTCGAGCAGCGAATAAGATATTTTTATAGGTACTCTGGTATTTTTTTATATAATTTAATGCAGAAGCAGATAAAATCAGCTTTCTTTTTAACAAACGCAGCAACTGAAGCTTCTGTCTAGAAACTTTTATACCTTCAATAATCCAACATAATTTATTACCTTTCTTTCTTGAGACTTCTTTTAAAGGGAAAAACCGATTGAAATACATAGTGAACTTGGATAAAAAGTAAGAATATGCCCTATTAACATCAGATTGGGAGTAAACCTCATTCCATGATTCAGATGCCAGATGGCAGTTAAACATGTCTATACTATTCTGAGAAAAGACTCTTTTTATTATAATATTTGAAGTGGAAGGAAGATTTACAGTTACATCCATAACAACCGCAAAGTGATCAGAAAACCCCATTTCCATCACATTTGTTACAGAAGGATAGAAAATCTTGTTTGTTATCATGACATCTATTAATGAACTAGAGGAAGAAGTGACCCTCATTGGACAAGGTACAGTATTTACTAAGTCATTTGACAACAATAGACTAACTAAGGCTTTTTGGTGAGTTGTATCAGTCAATAAATTAATATTCCAATCTCCACATAAAATCAAGAAACATGCCTTTTTTGCAATCTTACTTATAGTTGTCTCTAACAATTCAAGAAAGCTGTCCACATTACTCATTGGGGATCTATATATACATACCACAATAATTTTAAGATCAATAAGTTCAACAGCTGAGATTTCAAATAACTTATCCCTACCTAAATTTGTAACAGTGGGAAGCTCCTTGAACTTGAGTTCATTTAATATAAAACACAACACAACTATATCAAGGTCAGTGCCTAGTTTGGCTCTGCCTGACCTTGATATAGTTGTGTTGTGACGGTTTTAATAAAGAAGTTGTATATTATAACACAACAGGTTGCATGAAACGAAAATTGGCATTGTGACAAAATTTTGATTATTTTGGGTGTGTATCCATATACGCATATGTGTGCATGCACGCGCGCACACACACAATATCAATTGTATTGTATTAATGTAATGCATAATTTTTTAATGACCTGCTAACTAAATAAACAGTCGTGACATGTAGGGCACCATAGATTTTAATTAAATTGAATTTTAAGAAATACTGTATCAGATGGTCATACATAATTATTTTGATGTGGTTTGATATTGGGTGTTACTGGAATCTGACAAAATTTTGGTTAAAACTGAACAACAGTAAGGCTGCTTTCAGACAAGACACATGGTGGCTTGTGTCTGGGACAGAGCCACTCAATGCCACAACACACACACTTAGTGGCTCTGACGTCAGAACCCCACGTTGATGTTGCCCTCAGTCATTCAGATGGAGGGAATGCCTTACCACAGTTTGTTGCTTGAACCAGGAGAAATCATTATAATTATGCACATACTGTGAAAATATAGAAAGAGTAACAAGAAGAGAAAATTGTGGGTTCACCCTGTTGTTGAAAGGAGGCTTAGCAAAGGAGCATTCTACACACTCCATGAAGATATCTGCAGTGATGAAAGGAAGTTCTTTAATTACTACAGAATGTCTAGTACATCATTCACATAGCTGTACAGCAGTCTAAAATGTTATTTTTGTGAGAGGGACACACACATGTGATGGTATATTCCTTTCAAGGAGAAACTTGCTGTAACACTGAGGTAAGTCAAGTTATTAAACAATACTACTACTTTATTTCAGGAACAATAAATCATACACAGTAATAGTACATGAAATATATTAATTTGAAACTAATAATACATTACTAATACAGAACAATTCCTGCGAGTAGTTACATAATACTAACAACACTTGAAATGTCAGAATCACACAAATCCAATGGTGAATGAATGATAGTGTGTTCTGACGAGGACGATTTTGATCTTGTGTTTTGATAGGAAACGGGGCAAGAGTTCAAATGACTTGATTCCCATACATTGTAGATAAAAAGGGAGGAATGTTTGATTGTATATAATATTGTGAGGAAGGCTGGGAATAGGACTGTAATTGTACAGGGACATTAACATTGGGGTTATTATATTTTGAAAGGACCTGTAAAATTTCTTTTTGGCCAGTAATTTCAAGTCAGTTGATATGGAAGAAAGGTTCGGATGGAGACAACAGAAACAATCTATCCTCATCCTGCAACAGACTATCCTGATTGGATCACTGACATATTAATTGCTCCAGCGTGGCACACATTTTCTCCATGATATCACTTTCTTGTCTTCCTTTTCTCCTTCGTGTACTGTGTGCTGTTCACGATTGGGTTTTTCATTTCCTTCTCAGCCTCCTCCACGTTGTTGTGGTTGTTCCTCTCCTCCTGCTAACAGAATGCTTGAGACAGTGCTACAAAAATATTACAATTACATTACAAGAGTGATAGCAAGAACTATATTTAAGATAAAGTAAGCATGAAATACACACCATCTATTACCTATACATGGGATAAGGTAAGATGGTTGATCAAAATATACATATGTTTTCCTTCCTGATGTTGCTGCTCCAAATTTACAACATTTTTGTTTTACCACTTCTCGAGTGAAGCAATTTCTAAGGCTTTTCCACCTTCTTTCAATTTCATCGCCTGTAAAAACATACAAATTCATAATCAAACATGAATTTCTCACTGGACTTTCTCAATTTTTGAACACTAGTATATATGGTACACCACGTCATGTCAGTTGTACTGACATGACATGGTGTACCACATACACTAGTGCTTATGAACTTTATCGCCACAAAAGCGTCCATAATATCTTATTTAATTTCTGTTTGCAGGTACATAATCGAGAGTTGACTGATCTTACTAGTGGCTGCTCACCGACAGATCTACATTATTCTTACAAGATCAGCATATCAACATTGAGTGGAATTATTCAAGGGGTATGCAAAATGAAATGGGATAAATTAAAAGATGTATATGTTCCTTTCCCTACACAAGATAAATGGCTCAAAATCGCTGGTGGATTTCATGAGCATGCAAACTTTCCCAATTGCTTGGGCACTGTGGATGGGAAACATGTAAGAATCATCAAACCATGTCACAGTGGATCTGCCTACTACAATTACAAACACTTTCTTTCTATTGTACTCATGGCTGTGTGTGACACTAATTACTGTTTCACTTACGTTGATATTGGTTCGTATGGAAAGTGTTCTGATTGAGATATTTTTACAAATTGCTCGTTTTGGGAACAAATTAACTCAAACTCACTTAATATTCCTGAATCTGTCCCTCTAGAAGGAACCACATCCCCAAGCATCCCTATGTTTTTGTAAGCTGATGAGGCATTTGGTTTATCTAAACATGTCATGCGGCCATATGGAGGCAAAAACCTTGATGTAAAGAAAAGTTTTTAACTATCATTTATCAAGAGCTAGATACATACTGTCAAGTAAGTGGAGAATTTTCCACTGCCCATTAGATTTGTCAATTGAATTTTCTGAGGACACTCTTAAAGCATGTATAATGTTCCACAACTTTGTACACATGAGAGAAGGGGAAAGACAGAGCTGTGACACAGCGTCTTGGACATCGGACACTGAGATGCTTGTGTGAATGCTAGTATTCACGCTAATGTATTTGCAGTCGCTGGACATTGTGTGTCTTGTCTGAAAGCGGCCTAATGAACCCTACATAGACTATCATGTGTGTCTGCACACATCTCAAGCGTAATTCCCAAAATATTGGAGCAAAAAATGTTTTAAAAAAGTTGAAGAGGAAAATTAAACACAGTTTATGCCCAATATACTTTTTTAAATTCTTACAGTTTTTGAGATAGATAAAAGGCAATGAGCACACCACAGTTACTATGTAATGCATATATTTTACAATTTGTTCATTTGCTATGAGGTTCTTTGGTTATAAATTCAGTAAAAGTTGATCTAACGAGTCAAGCTGAGCTGAATGATGCCATAAATGACTGTCAGGTAAACTGTGATCAATAAAGAAATTACAAAGACATATCTTCTGGGGATAATGTCATGCAGTCTGTTGAAAGTCACCCAATGTTTTGGAGGAACATGTCACCTCCTTCTTGAGGGCAGAAGAGTAACCCCAGCAAGAAACCAGGATGAAGCAGGCTTGCTTGGGTTACTCTTCTACTCTGTAGATTGAGCCGTGCTGAAGGTCAGCTTGCTCTTGCGCGTGATGTCATGGCGTCTGCCATTGCCAGATTCCATCCTCACCCCCATATGTTGACATATTATCCTCGTGATGTCTGTGTATCACGTGACCTTCTATCCCTCTTCCGATGTCTCGGAAGGAGGTGAGACCTGCTTTGCAGCATGTCAGACTATGTGGTCCTGAGTGGACGCTTACCAGCTAGTGGGATTGCTACTGGAAAATCTGTTTCAACATGGTACCTCTAAATTGCATTCGGTATATCTTCTGTGGCTGCCTGCAATCACAAGCCGTTGGCTTAGAACGGTTGTGATGAGCGCATTTATTTTTATTTTTCTGGGGTAACCTGTTTAACGCCTAAAGGAAGTTAGTGAAACTGGGGCGAGTGAGCGTATTCTTTGTCGCGACTGTTGGCGACGAGTGATTGCTCTGCAATCATGGATTTGGGTTGTTGTGCCCTGTTTCTGCCTTGATTATTTATTTTTTGTATATTTTGTGTAATTCTGTTATTTTGTTATTGTTATCTGAAAGGCTGACATATCACTGTAGCTTCTCCATATAGCTTGGATACCCCAAAAATATCTTGGGGAGCTTGTAAACACAGCAACAGAACCAGCGACGACTGGCTGCTTCTCCGAACTTCACGGCTCTAATAAGTAATTTGAGAGAAGAAGGGGAAGGAGCGGTGGTTCAAGATGAAGACTACATATTCTTCCAAAACAGCTGACTTTCAACAGACAACAAGCATTATATCCCCAAAGATAAAACTCTTCATATCCATCACTGTGAGAACATAAAATGCTACAAAGAAATTATGCTTTCATCCAGAAATTTTCTGATAAGAAAAGAAATCTGCTGTTCTGTACATGTCAAGAGGAGGTTCATCACTGTTCTTTTATATACTGTAAATAACATACACTTGTTTTTACAAGAAATACTGAGGTTCATAATATTGATACCAGACAAAATGTTAATCTCTTCCCCCCCCCCAAGTACTTCATTTACTAAAGTTCAGAAGGGAGCTTACTATTCAGGTATAAAGATTTATAACCATTTACTCAAACAGTTATCCCATTCTTCTTCTGGCTTATTTTGGACTTCATCTATCGTGTGGTATGTAAAAGACAAAAGACCACGACCTTTCGGAGACTGGATCTGTCTCCGTCTTCAGGTGGGTAGGGAAGGATAAAA